GAGTGATTCGGATCTCAAACAAGGAACAAATTTTCTTGCCTTGAGATATTTGATCATCAAGGTAATCCGGTTTTTACTTTCCTTGGGTTGATTCCATACTTGTTTTTGGGGTTTTTGGGATTGAGTTCTATGGGTCTTGTTCGATAGCAAGGTTCTTAGATCCAACTCTCAAGGGTTTCTTAACATTTCATTCTCCAACATATTCAAATCACAAGGCTATGTGTTACTCGAAATCAAACATAAGGGCACAAGAAGCCTAAAAATAGAGACATTTGTTCTCTAGAACATTGGGGCAAATGTGACATTACAAAGTTATCAGGGGCAAAGTCGTCGTTCCATTTGTTCTGGGTACTCTCGATCTAGTTAAAAGGATTTTTGAAGAAAAGCGAAATGCAGTGGTCGGGCTTTCTGAACAATCCCAAGTTTTTATAAAAGCAAGCGATTTCACTCTATTTTGGCATCCAAGAAAAATTTTCCTGTTATCATCATGCGTCAAACTCACTTTTCATGCATCGTTTCATGCATTTTCATTGAAGAAATCTCAAAGCCCTATGGTAGAGAATTTCATGACAGTTCATTTTTGCTCAAGCAAGCCTTTTAGTTTTCTGTTGGTTAAATTGAACCCGATCAAAGATCGTGGTCGAAGCCTGTGTCGAGCCAGGTCCGTTTCCTTTTAGTTTTCTGTTGGTTAAATCGAACCCGATAGATCGTGGTCGAAGCCTGTGTCAAATCAGGTCCGTTGCTTGTTAGTTTTCTGTTGGTTAAATCGAAACCGATCAAAGATCGTGGTCGAAGCCTGTGTCAAGTCAGGTTTGCTACCTTTTTTTTGTTTGGTTAAATCAAACCCGATCAAAGATTGTGGTCAAGCTTGTCAAGCAAGGTTTGTCATTCTACCCTTCTTAAAATCTCGCCTTCCCAATACTCTCTTTTGCCTTTGTCTACCCTTTTAGTTCTGCAAGGATACACAAAGGAGGGCAAGTTGTAGACACCGTATTTGGTTCGACTCTCTTTTATTATTTATTTATTTATTATTAAGTGTTATTTAATTGTTTGGTTAAAATTAACCTAAGGTTTTAATGTAATTGTTTTTGTTAAAAAAGTAACATTAGTTTTAAGGTAAAGTTTTAATCAAATCAAATTATAAATTTTGTTTTAAAAGAATTTGGTTTATTAAAAACAAATATATATTAAAAA